AGACCTACTTAGATAGCCAGACATTCAACACACAAAGAAAGAAAGAAACAGCTATATTTTACAAGGATAACAAATTAGGTTCACAGTTAAGGATCCTTTCAACCATAGTGGAAACGTTCCCGCAGCCGGTCGGTGAAAGTCTTGACAAGACTCCAGTCGGCGACAAAAATCGCCGACCAAGACCGTTCGTGTGCTCGCACATTAAATTGCTACTATTTGTACCTTGTGTACAATAATAAATAATAAAACTAAGGAGTAGTATACCATAAAATCGCTATCCCCAAATGTCGCTAAAAGATTACAATAATAAATGTAAATGCTTATGCCAAAATATGAACACCGAACCTGAAACATGCGTAGAGATGTTATCCAGCGGATACTGGAACAGTGTTCCATTGTACTATTTCTAAAACGATCTGCGATGGATGTTTCAGATTTTGTTATTGTCAAAACTTATGTACATTTACCAGAACATATTATATCTCTATCGTTTACAGTCTAGCCTTTCAAATGATATTATAATGAAGCCTGATAGATGGAAGTGAGAGTGAATTCAGTCATCTAATATAAGAATATCAAGTTCATGTCCCTGTAATATAATGGTTTTATTAATTCTATCAGACCTGGCAAGAATATTAATTAAAACTTGACAGACAATCTGTGTTATTATTCCACCTTCTATAAAACAATTGACCAGATTGCTATTTAAAAGGTCAGTATAAACTACTATTATCTCGTTCACATTGGCAAATTAAAACATAAAAGCTCATTACTTGGGACTGTGTTTAAGTGATATAGTCTAACTATTTTCCAAATACGAAGATCAGTGTTAGATGGTGATGAGAACATAGTCTCATGAAAGCACTGGCCTAGGTCAAAAAATAAAGATTTATGATGAAACAAGGTTAAAAGTTAAGATAATTAGTTATGTTGTCTCTGTAATACTATCTGTGGTAGTATCAAAGGTTAAGATAATTAGATATGTTAACTAAGGATGTCTCTGTAATACTATCTGTGGTAGTATCAAAGGTTAAGATAATTAGATATGTTAACTAAGGATGTCTCTGTAATACTATCTGTGGTAGTATCAAAGGTTAAGATAATTAGATATGTTAACTAAGGATGTCTCTGTAATACTATCTGTGGTAGTATCAAAGGTTAAGATAATTAGATATGTTAACTAAGGATGTCTCTGTAATACTATCTGTGGTAGTATCAAAGGTTAAGATGATTAGATATGTTAACTAAGGATGTCTCTGTAATACTATCTGTGGTAGTATCAAAGGTTAAGATAATTAGTTATGTTAACTATGGATGTCTCTGTAATACTATCTGTGGTAGTATCAAGGGTTAAGATGATTAGATATGTTAACTAAGGATGTCTCTGTAATACTATCTGTGGTAGTATCAAAGGTTAAGATAATTAGATATGTTAACTAAGGATGTCTCTGTAATACTATCTGTGGTAGTATCTAAGGTTAAGATAATTAGTTATGTTAACTAAGGATGTCTCTGTAATACTATCTGTGGTAGTATCAGAGGTTAAGATAATTAGGTATGTTAACTAAGGATGTCTCTGTAATACTATCTGTTGTAGTATCAGAGGTTAAGATAATTAGATATGCTAACTAAGGATGTCTCTGTAATACTATCAGTGGTAGTATCTAAGGTTAAGATAATTAGATTTGTTAACTAAGGATGTCTCTGTAATACTATCAGTGGTAGTATCATTTCTTTAGCTGACGTAGCTGAAAATATATGAGTCAACGTTCTACTGATATATCAATAATCATCTCAAGATAAAAACTGTATTGTGAAATAAAATCTTTTCATGTATCTATAGAAAAAATAGGAAATTTAAAAGAAAAGAAGTCAGATACTTTTAGACTATTGAGGGTTAAATCTAGTCAGCCATTAGGGATTGTGATTGGGAAGAAAATGAAAACAGAGTCTAATTGCCCCACAGGCAGACACTACAACACTTCTTTCAAGTCCCGGAGATGTATTTTGTATTTCAATATTGAAGTTCTCCGTATCTCAAAAAATATTCCGATAAAAAATCTTCTAATTATACATCGAAAAATGCCAAACTTAGACAAAGTGGATCGTAAGATTTTTATCGTATTACTCTGGAAACTGGAATCCTAATACTGTAACGGTTTAAAATCAATAATAAATCATCTCTGATGATTAAAGACTTTAAATGGCATATAGTAATTGTATGTACGATATATAGACATAGCTTTATGGATCAACAGCTTTAATCAGTGATTACTGTTCTATAAATCTGGACTGAAGATTAAACTTTCACTTTCACTTGAATACAGAATTCAAATCATTTATAAGGTTATACATGGAAACTGAACCATCACAAATACAAGTCTGACATCTGAGTTGTAGACTAACCTTTTACTGTCACAACTCGACCATATATAAATTACATTACATTTGAGATCCTCGTTCAAGAAGACTGAATCATCATTGATCTCGTCGAAAATCTGGGACAAGATCATCACGACCCTAACCTACATACAGAACACAGAAACCTTTGCTTAAAATAACCCCATTACAGATAATGATTCATTTGATTGTTATATAGTTTAGTTTGGTGAATTACTTCTCTCTGTTTTATCTTCTAAAATTAGCCTACCATTATATTCTGTTCATTATCTGAATTTAGCCATCCTGCATGTTATATCAGGTATGTTAATAGTGTAGAAATTGTTAGTAAAGTAAAAACTGAAATGTTCCACACCGTTTCTTAAAGAATATCGTGAACTACAATCTGATCGCTGTTATTGCCAATCAAGAAAAAAAGTAAAAAATAAAATGTTCTTCAGCTGATAGTATAGTCAGTAATGACGACATAATGGAAATAATGCGTGTTTAGAAGGGCGCTTTGCTTTTGTCAAATTGTACACGAACCTCAATTCAGATTTTAAATAGTCGAGACTAAATCTAAATAGATACAGGACACAAGATTTCAAGGACAGATGATCAAAAAGGACAACCCAATACTGAATGCCAATGACACAATAAGGCGAGCAACACCATTTAGCTGACCTTCAGCGCATAACAGTAGGAAAAAATGTAACATCCACTTGATTACTTTCAATATTACATACTTTAGGAGGACGTTAAACTGCAGAAAAGTATAAACTAGAAATAATTGATTGGGATAAATTCAGAACAAATAAAACTGTAGATTTAATTTATTACGAAAATCAGAATTTATTGCCAGTCCAGTTTCTTCACAATTTTATTATTTACATAAAATTATATTTTATTGAATGATACAGATATAAATATATAGTTATTTCAATACATAATAATATAGACTATTTACATAGACAATACATAATAATATAGACTATTTACATAGACAATACATACTAATTATATATTCAAAATAATAATAATAATAATAATAATAATAATAATTGAGAATATATTCATAGAAAATACATAATAGCATATTTCCAATAATGGACGCCATGAATACCTACCTGGTGTGAAAGTGTTTTTGTTCAATTTTGAGCTTCTCATTTCGAAAACTCTCACAATAATGATAATGATAAACACAACGTTTCAATGTGGTTCTCCTTAAAACGTGTAAAAATTACTTCTAACCTGAACTAAATTTAATTTAATTTAATCCATAGCTCGATCGTCAGTCTTTCGTCAATCATAAACACGTCAAATTGATGGTTTCTTTTTAATCTGATTAAGTCCCCTTCTTGAGTTTGTGGCCCTCGCAAATACACTTTCTGAAATGATTTGTACATTAAATATACATTTCCATTACAATAATAATGTGCGGTATCCAGCGTTTATCGTCAATAATTTCCTACTATTTAGTAATATGGCGACTATTAGGAGTTAAAACTGTGTAATATAAACACAGATATTGGGATAAATAATGGATTATATATTGTTATTGTTCATTATTACTTTCATTATATACATTTAGATATTAATGTTTCTTCAAGGGAGGTAATTATAACGAGGGGAGGAATTTATCATTAAGGGAGGTTATCAAAGAAGGACATATCCCTGGAAGGGGAAGTATTGATCAGGGACCTCTTTCTGGTAAACTTGATTTATTATAATTAATACTATTAATAGGGTGAAGAGCAGGAGAAGGACCTTGTTGAACGTTGAACAGTCAACTAACGGTCATATATAATTTCCCAATGTCTTATTAAATACTAAGAAACTAAAGAGCCCATCAATGTCGGTTTAAATCCCTGGTTCCCAACCTACTTACTAAGACGATATTTGTATATACAATAAAATGGTAGATTAATAATGCCCTTGATATACTATGAAAGAGTAATTGTATTACATTATGGAATAGTTTATATTCCGTTCAGTCGCCTATATACCTCTATATTATTATATTATCATAAATCATAAACGTCTAGGACAATTTCCTCTCACGATACGATAAAACACAGTAAAATAATCACAACATAACATCTAAAAAACAAAAGAATATAGAATCACAAGAGCTATCAAATAACAACACTAAGCATTTTATTCCTTTCCGCGTTGAAAGGAACCGAAGCCTGTGGCGATTATACACCAATCGCTCAGGCCACACAAATTGGTCACAAAGGAAATGTGTTTTTCGACTATCTGACGACATGTATATTTATCAATTCACAGAAACATTTCCATATATTTCTTAACATATATCTGTTATAGACAATTCATTAGAAAATAAACACATTAAATATCTACCAAAATATGTTCACATATAAGACATATATTTTAGTCATGGTCGTACAATCACTTCACAAAGTTTTATTGCCTTTTGTCCTGTGATATATATTACAACCACAATCTCACAGAGTGAACAGATTATCACATGGATACGATACTTTCTTAGTCTTCCTTTGGAATAATTTGGTGAACAGTCTGAACGGACCTTTAGGCTTCTTTTTATCTTTAGACGGACTTTTAACTGGGTATTGCGGCTCGACGGGGATACTGAGTTTCAGACGGATTTGACTAAGGATACCAACAAGCAGTTCATCGACGTAATGATTGAGGGCGGCGGATGTTTCAGCATATTTACAATCATACCCAGTAGCTAACAGTCTGGCGTCTGAAAATATAAAATAAAAGTTGACATTAAATAGAATAATTAAATATACCACAAGAACATTAATACCAAATTAATTTACAATATTTACAATCCCAGCAAAAAAATAAATAAAGATGTCATTAAAAAAATATACAACCATACATTATTAACGCAATAAGTAGAGAGAAAGTAAGCTTTTTTTCAGGAGAGATGACCAGCTTTCGACACCAACAAAAGCAACATTATGTAAAGGTGCACAAGATCTTAAAGCAAATGCAACAGACATTACAAGCCAAGACCAATAAATTAATACAATTGAGAAAAATGTGTACCCAGTGAGATAAACTTTGAACGGGTGGTGAAGTATTTATGCATAATCATTTTGTGATACATGATCCCATCTTACAGCGACATTCAATAAAATACAACAGAATTGAATTCTTTATCCATCATTCAGTTAAAAAAATAAACGACATGAATCCCATTATTTATCAGTTTGTTTCTAATCTATCTGTTGTTCATTATGTTAATTATCCAATTATTGTCGCAATTTGTCAATTTCGTGAGAAATAAAGCTGAGACGAGGTAAATTGTTTGTTTGCGTGAGTCGACGACGGAATGAGGCTCTGTTAACGATGTCTATGACATTAAAACATCAAGTTTAAACAACCTCATTAGTCTATTTATACCTTCAACTCCAGATGGAACCAATTTTTATTTTGTTTACATCTCGATATCGTCTCTCACTTACTAAACCTAACAGTAAACAGCTAATTAGAATGGAAGGCACGTACATTTCATGTCAGTAATTCATGCATGTTTATAAATTACAGGAACCGTGTTGCCAATAATGGGACCAGTGGATTATACTTATCGCCATTTGATATAGCATGTTGATATATGAAATGATATACCAAGATTTAAAAAATAGGACCTTGGAAACTACGAGTTTAGTAGCGTGATAATAGAGAACCAGTGATTGCAGGATAATAAATAATTACCAGGAACCGTGGTGCCAATAATGGGACCAGTGGATTATACTTATCGCCATTTGATATAGCATGTTGATATATGAAATGATATACCAAGATTTAAAAAATAGGACCTTGGAAACTACGAGTTTAGTAGCGTGATAATAGAGAACCAGTGATTGCAGGATAATAAATAATTACCAGGAACCGTGGTGCCAATAATGGACAATTTGTTTAAGAGAGTGATTTATATTCATCTCCATTTCATAACATCATAATATATTTAAGTTTGAAAAACAACCACGAATTTTTTATAAACAGGAGCCAGGTTACTGCATCTGAACACTACGAGCTAGGTAACTTGACAACAGAGAACATATGATAATAAAATCAGACTGAAAATGAATTAGCTAAAAGAACAGTCGAGTTCCAGTTTAAGAGTGATGTGAAATTGCTGCCTCCTACTATTCTGCCAATGCATAATGAAAATGTTTTATTCTATTCAGTGATATAGGCCAGATTTCCCGTCTCCTCGCTCGATATTAGGCCATTATTTTTGTCTTCATTACAGTATTGCCCTGGTTCCCAACCTGTGGTGTTTTCACCCCCTGGGTGCGTGGGACTAGGGTATCAGGGGTGTGGCGAACTGGTGTAGGTGAAGAATTTATTGTGAAAGGGATGTGAAAGGTTCAGGGTTGTGAAGGCTTAATAGGTTGGGAAACCCTGCAGTATTGTAGTATCATGACTTCTTAGTGAGCTATATCAGAAGCAGGACAAAAACAAGGCGGTTTTTAGTTTGCGAGCCATATTGTTATAAAGAGATAATTAAAATTTCTTCCCCGAAGTCATCATTTTGAAAAGACCAGGCGCTTTCTGTCCACTGTACATATTAAATACTTTTCTGTTAAATGTTCACACTAAGCCCATGTTGAAACGAGAGCAGACAAGAGGACATCACGGATGAGAATAATCTTCGTCTAGACGTTCACATGTCATAACGATGGAATGTAATTTTCTCTGTGTTAGTATGGTTTTGACATGTCGGATATGAAATTGTTTAATTTAGTTTCTAATCGAAGACTATATCAAATGCTAGGAGATAGGCAGGCTTATTACTTGGTGAAATGAAATATTGTCTACCAGGTATTGACTCTAGACTAGAAGGTTAATAACTCTATTTATTATATAGTTCTAGGTCTGAGGGAAGACCTTGATATTTATTGGCTAGTTGGCAGAATATAATAAATAATATTAGAATCTCAAGTGGGCCAATAAGACTATTCTGGTCCAAATTAAACTGTAGCAGTAAATTTTGCAGAGGAAATGCGATAAATGAACAATATTTTGATACAATACCTTACCTTACGTGCGTTACATAAAAAAGTTTAAGGATATACGCACAATTTATTTTAGTGAAACGAAAAATTTCGATTTTAGGTAAATAGGAAAACATCCTCGTACGTCTGCCTGTATTTGAATATTGATAATTAACTGAAACTATCAGGTGTGACCATGGTTGTAGTTCTGTACCACATGAAATTGCTGATATTGGATTTGTTCATTTAACCAGTTACATCTGAATTTGATTTTTGATGAACAACAGGATAAACCTCTGTAATGCTCTTATAGAAGAAGTTTATTTATGGTTAAAACCCCTATAAATATTCCAATACTTATAGACTAAACATCACCATAAACAGAGATAGTCCCGAGTGATTTTATAATGATAGTTTTTAACAATAGAACTTCAGAATAATCACCAGATTACAGGAAGAGAAAATGATTCCAGTTTTTATTGTGGACATTAATCTTCCAGCACTAATAGACAGAGGTTAGAGCGTTGAAATAGTTACTAGTTAGACTATACTGTTTAATAGATGGCACGGGGTAAACGTTAGCTAACGTTCACTAACAAAATTCTGGCCACGTGATCACAATTTGATTAAAAGTCTTGATGATCCAGCAATTATGACAAATGGTTCTACTATTCAGCAGAAGATAAGTCAAAATAGACTCAAGTTTAATCACATATTTTTTGCAGCATCTGCATGGTCGCAATCTGAATGGTTCATTTCAAGTTTTTGTCACTTTTTTCAGCACATTTCTAACCATGTTATCACGATCTAACGGGATTCATATCCTGAACCAAAAGCATCAAATTACGCTAATATGTTAACCAACCATAACCATACTGCTTTCTATGATTGCAGTCAGATTGACCCCTTGGTGTTTGTTTCTAACACACGAATAACTATGATTAAAAATGTGAGACTTCTTAGTATCATTTTGCTAGAATTTGCAGATGTTTGACTCAACAGAAGCTGAAAAGTAGAACGTCATTTCTCTGGTAGGGGGTTTGTCTGACCGGATCTTTTGAACACACCAAGTCTAGTTCCTGAAACCACAAGAAATCAGCTGATATAGACCTATCACTTACACATATTGTACGAGTGTTCGACATATTGTGAAGTTGTTCACGGGTCGTGAAATTATGATTTTTGGCAACAGAGAAACATCCTTCTGATATCTATTGTAAGATTGAAGATATAAATCTCCTGAAGATTGCCATAGTTCACATAGCGGCCAACTTCTGGCTGTAAAACTATCGACCATGTTGCTAGGATGATGACGTCATAAATCAGCTCCTGCTGTTGATAGATGTTGGTTTAACAGCCTCCATATGTTCGTCTGCTTTGTAAATCAAACATGGCGCAGGTAAATAAACAAAGGCACTGAACTTGAACAGAAGTTGAACATATTAATAAATTGGTTGTATTATTTAGTAATTTCTCTAGAAAGATGCCAGATTAAGAAAGGGGGGTTTATTATTTTTGGCTTGAATACCATTTCAGTCGATTCACATCTTTGATCAGAAAATCATCACCACCATTTTGGATTAGTCTTTTCAACTTACTTGATGTTATTACTTAACCAGAGAGATGTGGAGGAGCGGCATCGGGCGCTTGAACAGACACTTAACAGTTGTTTTCAATCTTTAACTAATCTGAATAGGCAGTAAGATAAAAATCGAATTAAAGATGCCGCAGATAGTCACAGAGTGGTGTCGGGTGTTCTTCTTAAAACAGACACTAAACCGTTGATTTCCCATTTTCAAATAAACTGAAGAGGCAGCAAGATTGAAATCGAATCTTAAAGTGCAGCAGAAGTTAAACGTTGAGAGAGAAATACTGATAATGGCGAATGTTACTACAACTTTGAAGAATCTATGGTATCGTTTATGATTTTGTTTATGAGTTTTTTCTCTGTGAAGTTCTCAGGTTAATGGTATTTCCAGATTTCACGAAAGTCAATTAACGATGTTGAACATGTATTTGTTGGCCTGGTAGATTGATTAACTGTGTACTATCATCCTAGCTGGAAAGGTTAAAGTTATTATTAGTCTTTGTGCCAAGTCGATCATCCATTACCAATAATCAAGTAGTTCTGTTTGTTTCTAGAACCAGCTTGTCGTTTAATACCAGCCAGCACCGATGTGGGTAATGAATTTAACCACTACCAGAATAAATCCCATCTATATAGTTTACATTGTATTTTACACAATAAGAATTATCCCATATTCGTCTCAATTTGGAAGACGGTTGGTGGAGCACCAATACGAGCGCGGCTATTTTGACCTATGTTTTTATCGTTACTTTCAGCGAGTGGGTCCTTACAGCAGACACATGAACCATATCGATTTAGAGAACGATTAAAACATAACTTGAACGATTCATATTGGTTCTTCGGTTAAGTTGCATACACCCATTTCCAACGTTCTGATGAATGTTTATAGGAAACATGTGTCAGCAGCATGAGATGAGCTCTGGTCAATTAACTGACCTCAGAACGGGAAATTGATATGAGCTAACTATTGATATGAGGAAGTTGAAATGGTCAATAACCGTAATTAAAGAAATGACCTCGAGCCAACATTCTTCTATAATTATCATCAAGCACAGAAACACGTTGATAATGGTTTTAATTACTTATTAATTATCTTCATACCTTATTCCTTGCCCATGATCATACTGCCTGTATTCATGAGCAAACTATATTACATGTACGTCTTAGCAAGAAAAAATCCACACAGGCAAGACAATTTTGTTAATCAAAATTTCGTCAACAGAATGGCAAAATGGAGAGTAATAGTTGTATAGTAGTATCATATCACTGCTGTGTGTTCATTACTTCAGACTCATACTTGAATTGATGTGTCCGGTAGGTTTTTGATACTGTTAATGTATTATTTGTTAACTCTCTGTTTTCTGCCAAATATAATTTTGAGCTCATTTCTATTTGTTAAAACTACCTTTAATCGTGATAAAAATGTAAAATTTAAAATCTATACTCATTGGAAATCTACTTAAATATTAATATGGCGGTCACAAGATATCAAAGCAGAAAATTAGATAGAGATATAAAAAACACAATAAATATAATATTCTCATCAGACGATAGGTCAGAGTATACCTGATTGTCGATTGATACCAAATGGTCGAAGGAAAAGATAAATTCTCGGAAACAAATTTCCACAGTGATGAACTTTCAAAGACATAACATTGGTGCAGGTCTAACGAAGTTGTTTTCTCCTTTTCGTCTCAGATCTCGAAATATTTATACATTGATGGTATAACATAGGTGTGTGTATGATCACAAAATAAATCATAACAAAAGCGGCATATGCACGATCATTTTGTATTGAGGTCATATGGTGTGAAAGCACGTGTATCGAGAGTTTAGTTTGTTTTCATTTATCAACTTTACTTTTATCAAATATTTGTTATTCCTGTATTGTTTGTAACATGTAACATATAAACAAAACAAAAGCTACACCTGCACACATGATGCCAAACTGCGATATACATATATTTATAAATAGTCTAAATAGCAAATATTTTAATCTTTCACAGAGTCCATATACATGTGGTTAATTTCGTTTATTTGTTAACTTTTCATCCACATCTCCTAGCACAAGATATAAAGACTGATATATTTGATTGACACATTAGTCGAAATGCTGCAGTTTCTCTTTTTGTCAATCTGTCTGCTCCATTTCAATAACAATATGCATAGTAACATATTTAAAAACGTGTTATACGAAACCTGCACCTTGTGTTTCTGTTGGCAGGATGGTTTATTATCTAAAGTCAATCTGACACCAGATAAGACAGTAGTGCTTGTAGAAAATGTATCAGATAAAAGGAGAGTCAAAACGAGTTTGGTCAAGTGCTAACTATACTACTAGATACATGGTTTCTAAGATGATCTATTTCATGCTATTGTAAATATATATCTTCGTGGTACGTCACTACTCTTTTTTATTGTTTCTTTGCCAAGATTTTACTTCATGAAAGGTTACAATATCCTGTGTAATATAATTCGAAATGGAGTATACCATCTAGTTTTACTGAAATCAATTGCTGGTGAAGACGGACACAATCATAAGATGGAGAATGAAGGAATTTTCTCTCGGTTGGGTTAATGAACATCCATGTGCAATGTATAAAACCTTTTAGAAAAATTATATTAGATTTTCAACCGTTTTCTGACATTTAGTTGGCATTTTTTCACCGACAACGTACATATTGTTGACTAGGGAGAACGACCTTTCTAATATCTATTTTTGCATTGCGATCATGTAAGAACTTTTTTTTAAAATCAACTCGTGTGAAATTTCCGTCGTCAATTATAGACCTTGTCCATATTCTCCATATTCATGTGCCCACTCAGGTGCAGAAACATTTGACGTAAAACTTCATTTCCTTTCTCTAGCATCCATTACAGAACCAGTATTATTAACTCGAGTGTAACCACTTGAACCTACACATTTCTACCTATTCTGATAGTGAAGGGGTAACAATATGTAGTCCTACTAACACTAGATAAAGGTGAGAAGGAACTATGCCAAGGTTCTGTTATAGCACACCTGTTATTAAACTACGTATTGATATTAAACTAGGCCCGGGTCAGAGTATAGTAGTTCCTATTCCTAGACAAATAGATGTTGATCATAGAAAACAAACTAGGTGTTGTACTTAATAGACTTACACCTGACGGGATTTGTTTTTATTTTTTCTATCTTTCTTTAACGTATTTTGTCATTTATTCTACAAATTAGCACTTTAACAAAATGTGTCGTTTATCAATCAATCATTTTAATCTGTTTGATCTTAATTATATGTTACGCCTTTTGTATTTGGTAAATTAATTTGATCAATTAATCTTGTTAATGATATAAATCTAATTTTGATACTACTGTCTGTCAAATCCACCATTTTCGGAAAGTAATGTTAACATATTAACAGTGGACGAAACCGTTGCACTTGCACAGATAACAGTTCAAACTATTGATAATAGTCCTGAAGAGGATTGAACATCAGAAACACAAGTCAAGAAATGAGAAGAGTCCCGGTCGTATACACAGTAAATGATGAAAGTAAAATATGTTGCCAATTTATGATTTTATTTCCTAGTTATTAAATTTATAGCGACCTTAATATAATTTATACTAGTCTGAAAGCGGTAATTGTGAATGTAATTCGTGCGGTATGCGTGACTTTATGATTGAAAGTATTGAGGCAGGTATAATGAACTAATTTTCTGATATTAATAAAATACGTCTACTGATATCTAGTTCGATTCTAGGCCTCATTCTTCCCCCTTCTATAAGTCTGTGGATATCATTCGTCACTGCGTAGTCCGTTACATTTAGTATTTTAAATCAATCTTCTGTGATCATTAATAATATTGTGTATGATTTATTGGTGTACCTTAAAGATCCTCGACAGCTAAAATCGAATACGAGTGGGCTTGTGCCGCTGTCGTGGAAAAACACATGGCGTTGCCCGTATCTATTAGACAAATAAGGCTCAAAACAGTAGGATACAACATTTCATTTCATTTCATTTCAATAATCCAATAATGTACAGAGCAGTAAAACGCAAAACATTAATTATCCAGTAAGTTTCAGTTGTCACCTACACATTTCTCCTTTTTTTAGAAGATCTGAGATTCGGATTATTGGAAATACAGTTATTGGATTTTTCTGAGAAATCACGTAAATCATTAACATGTTGTAGAGAAACTTAATTAATTCTTTTAATAACAAAAAGGTCGGCCAAATATCTTCATACTTGATTCTTATTAGAATTAGAGTTTTGTGAGAGGAAAATACCTTCAGATCGATAATCACAAGTTTGGGTACATTGGAACAATGATACTCAGATGTTGCTCATGTTGATCCACGGACCAAAATTTGAACATACGTTCTTGACCCACTTGAAATAACTGGTTGTCACATCTTTGCCAGTGACAATCGACTTAGATAAAGGTTTATGGTTAGATGTTATGTATTAAATGTAAAGTTTTACTACTTCATCCGACTTGATTTTGGTTAGTCGTATCAATGTATTATATAGCCAGTGTTGGTGCTGGTGCTCCTCAACATATTTCATTTCATATTTGATTTTGATTAATGATTCTGACTTATGAATAGTTTGATTATTGTCTTCGACTTTGAATGTGGTTAATGGTTAGAGTTGATGTATGAGATTAATAATTATATTTAAGTTATGAATTCTGAAATTGAAGTTCAGTCTGGAGGATGAAGTTGTAATCGAGATAAATTGTGTGTAGGAGCCGAGATTAATGATGTTATTGCGGATTTCTGACAACCCGACTCATCATTTTAAACATTTCTCATTTTATCAACTTCAAAAAGGCTTTGTGTTGTGTTCTGTATAAACACCAGGTCACCAGAAGAACGTCATTACACGATTAGGTTTACTAGAAATGCAGAAACCACAGACGTCTGCAATTATGCATATCAATGCTATCTTAATATGGTTAAAGAGTCTCTCTTTACAATCCCTTCAATGCTACGAACTATGATAAGAGGTCCATAGTTTGAAACTATACATACCGTCGGCTGACACCTTTCTCTTCCTCACAAGATCTATTTTATTAGCTACAAGTAATATAGCTCTATCAGTACCTAGTTCAATCCGTAGATACCGAGCAATACTAGTCGCTGTTTCAAACGATGCTTTATCCGTAATAGAAAACACAATAACATAGGCATCGAGCTGTAAATCTTCCACACAAACCTGAAATATACAATAATATACACTTGTAAAGAATGACACAATCGATAACTGTTAGGACTGGAACTCAATATAGACTTTTCGAAAGGTACAACCAGTAATTTAAACAAGGAATTCCGTATCATATGTTTCACCGTATCATATGTATCACCGTATCATATGTATAAACGTATCATATGTATCACCGTATCATATGTATCACCGTATCATATGTATCATATGTAACACCGTATCATATGTATCACCGTATCATATGTATCACCGTATCATATGTATCACCGTATCATATGTATCATATGTATCACCGTATCATATGTATCACCGTATCATATGTATCACCGTATCATATGTATCACATGTAACACCGTATCATATGTATCACCGTATCATATGTATCACCGTATCATATGTATCACCGTATCATATGTATCACCGTATTATATGTTTCACCGTATCATATGTATCACTGTATCATATGTATCACCGTATCATATGTTTCAACGTATCATATGTTTCGACGTATCATATCTATCACCGTATCATATCTATCACCGTATCACCGTATAACATGTTTCAACGTATGTTTTGTGTGTGATAGGAATATTACAATAAGAACTCTTTTCAAAGCATTTAGAGCACAAGTACCAATAATATTATAACTGAAACCACAGTTTCAGTACTAATTGTTTTCTATAAATAAGACAATCAAGTACTACCGATCCCAACTGCAAAATAAAACTCATAATTTCAGTTGTGTATTGTCGATTACAATCACCTGAATCAAGTTCATCTCCCGAACAATCAACAACACAAACTTACATTTTTATCTGGAGGGTCAATAAACTCGAGGGTAGATTCTTCACCATTCAATAATACATTAACTGTCATTACGTCACTATCTGTAAAGAGAAATTGGTATATGAATTACTAAGTACTATTTGCAGTTACACCTAGTTTACTTTCTTCTCACGTGAAAGAGATTGTAAACAGGGATACTGATATATCGATTTATTCCATTCTCATTTTCAATCAGAGGTCCGTGATTATTGCAATCTCTTTATGCCAAATAAATGAAAGTGATACTATCTCTGGCTTTGAATTTGGAGTAACTTTTTTAAGTTCCTGGATATATTTAGCTAAATTTTGTAGATATATAACAAAAGTTGTTAACAGAATTCTTGAAAAAACGAGAGATGAACAGTGTTATTTGTAGCGTCTAATCTTCTACAATTAATAATCCATGCTAATGTTATTGTTACCATAGAAAAGAAACCATCGAATCAAAGGTTTCTCCAATACTGAAAAATGTTTCTAAACGACCATCTAAACATTAAGCATAAACAATATAAAAAAGGTATTCGAGTGTACTGCAATTGTTGTTTGCTAGAATTATTTTTTTTCTGACCCTGATTTGTGTTTTTTGTGGTTGATGTAACTTAGGTTCATGAAGTAAATCAAACAGTGTGATGTTGACGAGAGGTGTATCAGAGACCATCATCAATACCACTTTTGATCAGGTGTAAACCACCGTGTGGTAATTAAACATGTAGAGAATGACAGTATCATCCCGAGTTATCAGTAAACACGACCGAATCAATTTCTACACTGGCCTCGGATGTTTATCCACCATAATGAGATTTTAAAAGGTATGTATACGCATCACGCTTAGACTGAGTTTGTCTTATTGTTATAATGCATACGTTGTCAAAATAATTATAGATGTCAATCTAGCCATTGAGTAGATGCTGCAAATTATGGAAAATATGACGAATATGTGGAACCGCGAGTTTTACGCCTGTCAAGTTCTGAATTGGTTATAACATGACAAGATTATAGAGATGGAGGTACATAATATAACACAAAACGACAGAAGCTAGGTAGAATCTCTGAAAGGAACAAACCTAAATACCACAAAACATTAGTGGAGACTCTGACAGAGTTGCCGATCTGACACCGACTTGAAAAGGGTAGCTGATGTTTTGGGAGAGTCTGGAAGCATGCCACAGCTATCTAACAATATTGACACGCCAATAAATGACAGTATTTCTGGAGAGATTTTATTTATTGGTGCAGATTTTTTGGGCCTATATACAGGACGATATAGGCCTAAAAAGCTGCACCAATAGATAAAATCTCTCCGGAAATACTGTCATTTATTTGCGTGTCAATATTGTTTGATAGTTGTTGCATTCCTGTTTGACATGTGGCCCTTGGACTTGGTTTAACTAATCCCTCTAGTAGTTGAGCCACAGAATAATATAACAAGCTTTTACCGAACTTACAATTTATTTCGTTTCTAAGATTTTTTACGGCTTTTCTCTAACAAGCTATCAGTTGATATTGAGTAATTTCCGTTTTATGGATTTTGTTTCAGATTTAATGACAACTACCTAGTTTATATCTGTAATATAGCTTCACCTCAATCGTTTTATGATCCCAGGTCAATTGGCAAGTCAATCAACTGTACATGTATGGTGGCATCGTGTTTTTTTTACACGTAAAGAAGAAAACTATGAAATGACGCTTTGTTTTGAAGCATTATTTCTTAAATCGATGATAATTGCGTGTTTTGTTAACACCCAGCAATTAAGATTATAACAGATCATTCTTGAGGGCAGTACATCAACTTACAGGCTCGTGGTAAAATAAGCAGGAGGTCAACATTGGTAGGACTGTAAAGGGTAATAGTGATATAATTAAGCCAACCTAGAGGTATAACAGGGTTATAGAAAAGACAGCAGTAAGCCTGCCTAGAGGGTATAAACGGCTTATAGAATAGATAGAAGTAAGCACCTCTAGAGGATTTTAAAGCTTATATAACTGTTGAAAAAATGTACCCTCTAAATTGTAACCTTCAGATCAGAATAGATGATAACAGAACAGATAGAAAACTAACGATTCTTAACAGATGCCAGTCTATATATACACCAGTCTTATTTATAAAGTCGCTATCGAAAATACGAAGTTGTTTTTTCGCTGAAATTAAGTGTCAAAATCGACATGTACTTGTACAGTTAGTAGGTAAAATGATTGTTACGTTACCTGCCAAGACCACCCGCGTCTATTTCAATATATAGCAATTTTAGTGAACAATAGTCTATAGTATCTACCTGTAAACTTTTTGTTAGTGATATTTAGGCTGAGAGATCACATTTAATAATTGAACACATGTTTATATGGTAAACTACTCCTGAGTTTTATTGTACACAATGTTTCAACAATTTACATTGTCATCATCAGTTTATATGTTAAACTACTCCTGAGTTTTATTGTACACAACGTTTCAACAATCTACATTGTCACCATCACTTCATATGATATACTACTCTTGAGTTTTATTGTACACAACGTTTCAACAATCTACATTGTCATCATCAGTTTATATAGTATACTACTCCTGAGTTTTATTGTTCACAATGTTTCAACAATTTACATTGTCATCATCAGTTTATATGTTAAACTACTCCTGAGTTTTATTGTACACAACGTTTCAACAATTTACATCGTCATCATCAGTTTATATGTTAAACTACTCCTGAGTTTTATTGTACACAACGTTTCAACAATTTACATCGTCATCATCAGTTTATATGGTATACTATTCTTGAGATTGATTGTACACAACGTTTCAACAATTTACATTGTCATCATCAGTTTATATGGTATACTACACTTGAGATTGATTGTACACAACGTTTCAACAATTTACATCGTCATCATCAGTTTATATGGTATACTACACTTGAGATTGATTGTACACAACGTTCAACAATTTACATCGTCATCATCAGTTTATATGGTATACTACACTTGAGATTGATTGTACACAACGTTTCAACAATTTACATTGTCATCATCAGTTTATATGGTATACTACACTTGAGTTTTATTGTTCACAATGTTTCAACAATTTACATTGTCATCATCAGTTTATATAGTATACTACTCCTGAGTTTTATTGTTCACAATGTTTCAACAATTTACATTGTCATCATCAGTTTATATAGTATACTACTCCTGAGTTTTATTGTTCACAATGTTTCAACAATTTACATTGTCATCATCAGTTTATATAGTATACTACTCCTGAGTTTTATTGTTCACAATGTTTCAACAATTTACATTGTCATCATCAGTTTATATAGTATACTACTCCTGAGTTTTATTGTTCACAATGTTTCAACAATTTACATTGTCATCATCAGTTTATATAGTATACTACTCCTGAGTTTTATTGTTCACAATGTTTCAACTATTTACATTGTCATCATCAGTTTATATAGTATACTACTCCTGAGTTTTATTGTTCACAATGTTTCAACAATTTACATTGTCATCATCAGTTTATATGTTAAACTACTCCTGAGTTTTATTGTACACAACGTTTCAACAATTTACATCGTCATCATCAGTTTATATGTTAAACTACTCCTGAGTTTTATGTA